GTGTCCCAAAATTTTATTAATTTCATATATGCTAACATCCTCCTTCCCTTACCTCCTATCTTTCTAACATTATGGTTTTCTGATCCATGCCTTCTCATTATGTGAGCTAAGTATGATAACTTCAACCTGAGCTTGGTTTCCAAGGAAAGCTTTGGTCTGATCTGATCAAAGACTCATTTGTTTGTCTTCCTGGATGTCCATGGTATCCTAAGTACTCTTCTCCAGCACCACATTTCGAATGAGTTGGTTTTCTTTCTGTTTACTTCCTTCACTATCCAGTTCTTGCATCTATACATGGTAATTCGAAATGCAATGGCCTGACTTTAGTGCTCAGTTGTATGTCTTTGCTCTTCAGTATGTTGTCCAATTCTTTCATAGCTGCTGTTCCCATTCCTAGTCTTCTTATTTCTTGACTGCAGTCTCTGTCCTGGTCAATGTTTGATCCTAGATATGGGAATTCTTTAACTATTTCAGTTTTCTTGTTGTCTAGATTGAATGTGTGCATTTTTTCTGTGGTTATTTTTGTTTTCTATATGTTCAGCATCAGACCTGCCCTTGCACTTTCAATTGTTGACCTTCCTCATTACATGTTCCAATCCCTTAATGTCTTCTGCTAATATTATGGTGTCGTCTGCATATCTTAGGTTGTTAATGTGCCTTCCCCCTATCTTCACTCTTCCTTTTTCTGATTCTAATTCTGCTCTTCTTATGATAGTTTCAGCATATAAATTAAACAAGTAGGGTGATAGGATGCAGCCTTACCTGACCCCTTTGCCTGTTGGAAATTGGGAATCACTCTGTTTCTCCAAATTCTGTTCTGACAGTGACCTCTTGTCCTTGGTACAGATTCCTTATCAAGACTATCAGATGTAATGGCATCCCCATGTCTTTGTGTGTGTTCCATAGCTTTTCATGATCTATACAATCAAAAGTTTTGCTGTAGTCTATTGAAACACATGCTGATTCTTTTTTGGAATTCTTTGGTGTGTGCCATTAGCCATGTTTGCAATGTAATCCCTAGTGCCTTTTTCTTTTCTGAATCCTGCTTGCACCTCTGGAATTTCTCTCTCCATGTATGGTTGGAATCTATGCTGTAGAATTTTCAGTATTATTTTGCTTCCATGTAAGGTTAATGCTACAATTTGATAGTTGCTGCAGTCTTTTGTATCTCATTTCTTGTGGTTTGGTGTGTGTGTATATATATATGTGTGTGTGTGTGTGTGTGTGTGTTTCATTTCCAGTCTGTCAGCCACTTCCTTGTTTTCCATATTTGTTGGCATATTTTAGTTAACACTAGAATTACTTCTTTCTGTGTCCATTGCAGTAGTTAAACTGGGATATCATTTGTTCCTGGTGATTTATTTTTCCCCAATTTCCCTTATTGCAGATTCCACTTCGCTTTTTAGAATTTGGTATTTATATTCATATGGTTCCTCTTTCCATGTGTCCTTCATTTCCTCATCTCTTTTATATAACTCGTCTATGTATTGCCTCCATTGTCTTTTTATTTCTTCTTTTTCCTGTATTATGTTTTTTTTTACTCTAGAGCATCCCTGCTTTTGGTTTGAACTTAGTTTTGATTTCCCAGATATTTTGGTAGAAGTCTCTTGTTCGTCCCCTTTTGTCTTCTATTTCTCTACATTAGTCATCGTAGTAGTTCTCCTTATCCCTGTCCACCAAACATTATACAGTTGCATTCATACTTCTGGTTTTGTTCCTATCTCCATTTACTTTCATCTTTCTTGTTTCTTGTACTGCATGAAGTGTTTCATCTGTCATCCATTGTTTCTTCTCTTTCTTTTTGGCATCTGTTAGTGTCTTTCATTCATCCTTAATTATGTTCTTGACATTTGTCCACAGTTCTTCAGGTTCCCAATCAATTATACTTAATAGTGCAAATCTATTTCTTGCATTGTCAGTGAATTTTTCTGAGATGTTTTTCTTGTCATATTTGGTATAATGATATGGACTGGGTTTTTGTTTTGTTTTGTTTTGTTTTTTTGCTTTCTTCCTCAATTTAACTCTGATTTTTGTTAAAAGCAGTTTGTGGGTCTGTGCCACAATCAGTGGCTGGTCCAGTTTTGGTCATGAGGATAGACCATCTTCTGCTTCCAATTGTGTAGTCTATCTAGTATTTTTATTGATCATTTTATAATAATAATAATAATAATAATAATAATAATAATAATA